TTTTATCCTATCCCCCAATCTTTGGGTTGTGCGCCCTACGTAGCCAGAATCACACTGGCACGTAAATTCATAAATGACGGAACTTGTTTGTTTGGTAGGGACGCAATCCTTTTGAATGGATGGAAGGGCTCTCCTAGTGCTGTAAACAATCCGAGGATTGACAGCAAAGAAACAATTGGTTATGGCTTGCCTAATCTGACTCTCGAATCGCAAGGAAGTGTTACCAATCCATGGTAGTTTCAAATAAACTGGGCACTTTTGCGGACCAAACTTTTGAACAGCCGAAAAACTTGCGATCTTCTCCTTAGTATAAGATAAAATGACGTCTTCAGGATAGCCGTTGTCCAAGAAGATCGTTTTGAGTTTTTCCAGTTCAGTGTGCAGTTTAGATTTCGAGCAGATCATAAGTGCCCTATGTACTAATGTTTTGACAAGGTTGACTTTGCGTTGTTTTGGGCAAAATGAATTCCAGCGTATGTACTGACCGGTAAAAGTAGGCTTGCGATATACACTGGTAAGAAATCCAGTGTTAGACTTTTCGACCAAAACATCTAAAATGGTAAGGAATCATTTTCTTCCTTTTCAAACGTAAACTGGAGGGCTGGGTGTAGGCTATTTAGGTGTTTTAGAAAAATATCACACTCAGCCTCTGTTTTGAAAATGGTATATGTGTCATCCACATACCGAAAATAGACACCTGGCTTTTGGTCGTAGTCGAACAAACGCTCTTCATGAAAGCCAACAAAGATATTGGCCAAGGCAGGTCCCAGAGGGCTACCCATAGCGACACCATCCTTTTGTTGGTACATTTCATTGTTAAAACTGAATTCGACTGAACGTGTTGCAGTTTCCATCAGTTCAATGAATACTTCCTCTGGGAATGGTGGGCTATTAAGCTCGCTCCGGTACAAAGCGTCGGCGCATATTTTGATGGTCTCACTCAAAGGAACATTTGTGAAAAGACTACTAATGTCAAAAGAACACATGAAAGATGTTTCGTTTTCGATGTTCAAGTTTTGCATGAACTCAGCGAACGTAAAAGAATCCTTGATGCAATGTTTTGAATATTTTTGAAGAACAGGGTCCAAAACTTCAGAAAGCCACTTAGCCAGTTCGTGTTGTGCTGAGCCAATCATAGACAAGATAGGTCTAAGTGGGACGTTCGGCTTGTGTATTTTAGGGAGGCCATACATTTGTGGTCGTTGAGAGCCCGTGGGTCTTATCCTATCATAAATTTCTGTAGCCAACATTTTTGAGTTGACCAGTTCCAACAAACGTTTTTGGAGTTTCCGCTCTAATTTGGCCGTTTTGTCATGTGTTTCGACATCACCCAATTTAGCAAATTTTTCTTTGTCGTGGAGAATTACCTCCATTTTATTGATGTAGTCATTTTTGTTTAAAATTACCACTCCAGACCCTTTATCAGGTTTTGTAATAAAGATGTCATTGTTAGCCCGTAGAGATTTTAGTGCTTGGAAATGTTCTCTATGCAAAAGAAAATCTGAGTGGTCGATGGGAGAGCCGCTGTAAGCGTACGCCAAATCGCTTAGTCGTGCTCGTAATTTGTTAAACTCCAAAGGGTTAGAAATCTCGTGCTTGGCAAGTTGAGCGTGTAAAATTTCGAATTCAGCAAAGAGTTCCTCTCTGTTGATTGTTAGGGGTGGGATACAAAATTCAAGTCCATTACCTAAGACAAATGTTTCAGTATCAGAGAGAGAATAATCCGAGAAATTAAAAATATGTTTTTTGGTGTCGCTCAACATGCCACCGAAACGTTTCCTTACTAGCAAGCCAATATTCCTATTGTGTTTTTCCGTGGTATGTTTTAGTGTCCGCTGGTCAATTTCAGAAATGTAGCGGCAAATTCGAAAATTGTCAAGGAATGAAAGAAATGGACGCGTTTTAGACAATTGGCGTGTATACAGGCATTTTAAGTTCAAAACATTGGTTTTTCTTTTCTGAATCTCATCTTGGAGAAAAACGCGCTCAATGGTTGGACTTTGTCTAAATCCAGACTTGGAAATACGAGCGGTGATAAATTTTGGCACAACTCGGTTAGTCAAACATAAATTGAGAAATGATAAAGAGAACCTGGCCATCCTCAGCTTACCTCTTAACTTCACCAGTTGGTTGAGATCCTCAATCTCCTGTTTAGTGTACATATGCTTGAAAAATGTGAACAATTTTTTTGCGGTACAGAATTTGAAAATGGCTTTGAAAAAAGCAAACATTTTACAACATACTAAAAGCTTTTTTGTCTGACACTCCTCAGAGCATAAAACGTCAGAATAGGTTCCGAAAAAACAAGATGGAAAAGTATATACCCAGTTGTGGATCGAAATAGGCCAATCAGAAAAACGCAAGCACAAGACCGGTATAGTTGACCAATCAGTGCCGCGAGCCTAAAGAAAAATTACCAATGGAGTCCAAGAGAGAAAACGAACTTCTTTTGTCTAAACAATGGCGGCTTTTTCGTTTTTATGTAGATTGACTCCAAAACTGCTAGATGGAAGGACGACCGGGCTCTGCCAATTATCCGAAACATGTCGTCATTATAGAGTTTTGCACAATCTGGGTTGTCTAAAAGATCTTGACCAATGGCAGAATCACTTGTTTTAACAGTGTTTCTAGACCTACAAGATCGAGGAGGCTGTTCTCTTTGAGGGGCAGTTTTGTTTCGTATGTTGGAAGGAACATGCTGTTTTATCCTATCCCCTAATCTTTGGGTTGTGCGCCCTACGTAGCCAGCATCACACTGGCACGTAAATTCATAAATGACGGAACTTTTTTGTTTGGTAGGGACGCAATCCTTTTGAATGGATGGAAGGGCTCTCCTAGTGCTGTAAACAATCCGAGGATTGACAGCAAAGAAACAATTGGTTATGGCTTGCCTAATCTGACTCTCGAATCGCATGATATTTTATCTTTAGCGTTGTAATCTTTTTTTCAAGAGAAAAGCGTAATCAAAGAGTTCTTAGTAAAAAAACGCCTTCTTTCTTCTTCTTCTGCCATGTTTTTTTGGACGATAAGGTGGTGGAAAGGGAACCAAAAGAAGCGTTAACTTAAATCATGGGTTTTAACCTTTCGAGGGGATCAAAGTTATTTTCTAGTCAAATTTAACTTGTGAATATCCTTTTATCACAATCACCATTTTGTTTTTCTGTTTCGGACATTACTTTGTAGCCTCGTTCTTTTCAAAAGTAAAGTGAGAAAAGCCCCAGTGAAAAGTAAGGGCAATGTATCAAATTTGCAGTTCTGAAAGGCTATGTTTTCAAGAAAATTAGGCTTATTCGGAAAGCTTGCTGTCCACCCTGACTTTGAAACTGCGAGATATTTTCCTAAATACAAATGAAGTAGTGTTGTATATGGAGACTGTGGAAGAAGAAGAAGTCAAACGAGGCTACCTGACTAGCTGTTCATCAATAGGGGTGATAATGGCGCATTTTTTCGGAGTGTTGATTTTCATTTACACAGTGTATTTAGCAAAACCTGGATTCAGTGAGTATTTTAACATCATGAATATTTAACGATTCAATCCTGTTATCTAAGCTTGGGAAACGAAATCTATTGTTATATGTTAGGCACTAAGTACTTAATTTTATGGGTGTGTAGGCCTAGACCAGTTATGGATCCACCCTGTCTGCAGAGCGTGGCAGTTCTCGACAAGATCGTTTTTGTGCAAGAGCAAGTATAAATTTTTGCAAGTGTGCTAACAAAGTGTGCAATGTGTGCACACTGTTCAGTTTTGGTCCGATGCGTGCAGCAAGCTTCTAATGTGCAAATTATTTGTCGATTTGTCTCAATTTGTGCACAGCAATTATTTCCTTCAAAAGCGCTCTAAAGCACTCCACAAAATTTTGACTTCAGATTATAATTTAGCATGGGGTCAGTCATACATTTTGTATGATTAAATTTCAATTATTTCGACCCCCTCCCTTGTACTTAGCTAAACTTCTAGGTGGGTTGTGGGATTGAAATATGTATAACCCCCTAAAAGTCAGTTGATTTCAACATAATTCAGTCCACAGAATGATCTTACAGAGTAAATTCTTGAACCTATACTGTTGTTTCCCAAAAATTGTTAGTAAAGCCTGATACTCACTAGACGATTATCACAATTATCACGATAATGATTAGTCTGTAATCGTCTTTATCCACAGTGAGTACATCAAATGTAATTGTGTTATGTCCTCTAATCGTGATAAACCATCATGATTATCATGAAAGGATATCAAAAAATTTTGATATCTTTTCACTGTAATCATGATCCAATGATGTTAGTCTTTTTGTTCAAAATAATGTGAAGAATTTATGTAGGGAAGGGAGTGTCCAAGGCAAACAAAATGTTGAAAAACTGTCATTGTAGTCATTTGGTGTGCCTTATGTTAAGTATATCTCATCAAACATTCTGATTTCAAAATGGAAAGTCAGAACTAGCAATTCGACAAGACACTTTCTGCAGCTGTGAGAAATAATCAGCCCACGCTTAAAAAATTACAATAAACCTAACACTGTAGTTTCTCAGATAATTGGAAAACGCTAGTCAGTAAATTTTTCTGATTGGCATATTTTGATCCACAACTGGGTATATATTTTTCATTGTGTTCTTTCGGACCCTTATTCTGATGTTTTATGCTCTGAGGAGTGTCAGACGAAAAAGCTTCTAGCCAAGATGTTGTAAAATGTTTGCTTTTTTCAAAGCCATTTCTATTTCCATTCTATAAACAGATTATTATCATTTACCATACTATAAATGGATTTATTCCATTCTTAAAATGGAATTCCTTTCTTTATGAGGTTCCCTATTGTCCCCATCTCAGTGGCCCTGCTTTAGATCATCTCCATGATGCTCTTAGGGTGCTAATGTTTTTAGCCTTTTTGACCATTATTTTTTAAATCATCTTCTTACTTGTCAAACCTTTAAGAATTTGGATGACAGCCACTGATGGCAGTGGTAGTTAAGCATAGTTCAACTCTCAATCATGGATTTCTCTGAGATATGTAAAATTGTTGTAAACAGGAATAATTCCAGACACTCCCAAGATCTCGCTGAAAACTGCCATGAAATCTAGACCAGGGCCTAGAATCTCTGGCTTGATTCAAACAACTGCTGTTAGGGGTTTCTTTGGTTTTTTATTTCAGGCAGTTTTCATTTCAAAATTAGGTCATTGGTCAGATACACATATTTAGGAAGGATATTAAAGAGATTAAGAAAGTATGATTTAGAAAAGAGAGAACCCATTGCAAAGTCTATTTACTAAACCTCGTTTACATTTGTTGGCTTTGCTATATACTCATGTTTCCTTATTCTGCTTTTGTGTTATATTTTTTCCATAATGTCTTTATATTTTGTTGTAGCTTTATTTTCATGGCACCCAACTTTGATGTCACTCAGTGTAAGTATAATTCTCCAATTCTTTCAATAAACACCCAGAGTTTTTAAATACCCTGGCAAATTCTAGAAGGGTTTGTAAATTCATATAATATTCAGAGATAACAATACTGGTTTCATCAAACATTTAGACACAATATCATTATAAACCTTAATTCTGGGACCTAAATGTTGGTTTGATTCTATTCTACCCAGAAAAATATTACTGAGGTCTTTATAAAACCGGAAGGTTTAATTGCAAAAATGAGCTCTGCAGTGCAAAAATAGTCTTTTTTATGTCAATTTGACTTACATTAAATACGGATAACAAGAACGAAGCACCCCAGAGTTAAAACCTGAAATTTGACATTAGACCTGAAGATCAGATAAAATAGATATGCCATCTATCTAAAAATGTTATCATATCAATATCAATACTTGATAAAAAATAAAGGGGTGATTCTCAAGAATGCTTAATATGTAACAATATCTTTGTTTTGTGCTATTTTCACAAGGGACTGAGCAAAGGTCTGACTTGTGCAATTATCTGACTTATCAAATCAGATCTGTGCATTGAAAAGCAACATCATTTATACTGAATGGACTGGGAGTGTGACTATGCACATCTGTCCCAGTTATTAAATTTCTGCTTTGTGCAAAAGCGAATTTGTAGCAAATTCTGTGATAATTAGAAAGAATCATAAGATAATTCTAATCATCAAGGATGTTTACGAAGCATGAGTGTTGTACGCATGTTTTTATCAGAGGGCATAATGATATTCAATAATGAATCCTAGACAAGCCCCAGGCCAGACGAAACATTCTGGGGGGGCTAAAGCCACAAACTGTAACCATTGGCAGACACCTGGGGGGGGGGAGAAAATGGTCTTTTGCTCTACAACAATGAGAAAATGTGATTTCATCTTATTAAAACACTAGGCTACCCCTAATATTTGACCAAGTGTCTGCCCCTGACAGTAACACAGTATATAAACCCAAAAACCAGTTTCTCTGTTCCTGATCCTAGAGGGTCTTCAATTTCAAATATCTCAATGTCTGCTGCTCCTTTTAGTAGTTTATGTACTATTATTGTATCTACAAAGTGGTGTATCATTTTTTAGGTCTGAGTATTGTTTTTTCTTTAGTTTGCTGTGTTGATGTTGGAGGCCATTCTAATGTTTTCACCATACAGTTCATTGATACCAAATGCTAGCCGAATGGAAAAGGCTAAATACCACTGGCTTTTCCAAATTGCTTCACTTATTACCTCCATTCTGGGACTGTTTGCCATCTATGAGCACAAAGAACGCAACAAAGAAAATCCTGTCCATTTTCATTCTTGGCATGCAAAAGTGGGACTGGCTGCTGTGGTTTTATCCTTGGTTAATTCGCTTTCCGGCATTGGTTTGCTTTATCCAAATTCAGCCATCTGGAATCCACTTAAAGCAAAGCTAGGAGTAAGAAAGAGACTACATGCTGTGTTTGGCTCATTGGTGTTTCTAGTGGCAACTGCTGCTTTGATCTTGAGTTTATATACAAATTGGTTCAGTAAAGTAGGTGGAGAATTCATTTGGTATGCAATGCTGACGCTGATAACAGTTGTGGCATCAGTTGTCACAAATCAAGTTGCTAATGAATTCATTTTTTCCAGAAGAAAATGAGTCAGCACTGAATTATTGGATACTTGATACACAAATAGAGGTTATTTAACCCACAAACATCTCAGATTAGATTGATAAGACTCTCTGAATCTTTGAATCT